CATGGGCCCACAGAGCATGCGTGCTGCCCTTTCCAGGTCAGGGGGAGTGTCGCTGTTGAGGGAGGGAGGGGCGGGGGGAAAGAGGGCGAGGGGGGGGGGGGGGGGAGCACCACGGGCATCATAAGAGGGAGAGAAAGGAGAATTTTTTAGAGGAAGATATTGTAAGGAGATGGGGAAAGGAGGAGAGGAAGGTAGGTGGTAGAATACGGGGGGAGGCAGGACGTGTCGGAGGGAGGGAGGGAGGGAGGGGGAGAAGAAGGGAGGGAGGGTGACCTGAGGCAGGCCTTGCGCCAGGCTTCTCGACGATGTTGACGCTCTCCCTCCCGCTCTTCCTCCCCTTCGTTACAGACATCGAGGGGAGGGGGAGGGGGGTTTCCACCGCGCTGGCACTGGAGGAAGGGGAGGAGGAAGGGAGGGAAGGAGGGAGGGAAGGAGGGAGGGAAGGAGGGAGGGAAGGAGGGAGATACCTGAACGGCACGTTCCCGTCGATCGTCCAAGAGCATGCCCCCCACAAGGTCCAGGCAATCCCACAAATAGATCCCTAGCTTTTCCTTCTCACACTTGCTGACCGGCTCTTCGCTCAAGCCTTTTTCTAGAAGGTTCCGAGCCAGGCCGTTGCAAAGCTCCGAGAGGGTCTCCAATTGTTGCTAAGAGGAGGGAGGGAGAAAGGAAGGGAGGGAGGTCGGGAGGGAGGACAGATGGGAGCGACCATCAGCAAAAAGTGAGAAGTACAGAAGGGCAGAGAGGAAGGAAGGGATGGGGAAAGGGAGAGGGTCCGTTTCTCGCCATCCTCTCAAGCACCTTCGCAGCTTTGTCTTCCCCTCCCGTGCTGCTTCGATTGCATCGCACAGCCGCCGCCCCCAGTCCACGCGCGAGGACCACAGACAGCCCCTGTGAGAGTTTATACCCATCCCAAAAAATGTTAACGCTTCATATCAGAGAAAGGATCGCTGCATGCAGTACGTGGCCCGTAGAAACATGCGTGCTTACCTTGAAGGATTGCTGTAACCGTCCCAGGATGGCTCCACCCGTTAACCTCATGGTCGCCACCGGCACATTGGTCTGCCCACGCCGTAGACGCCGTCGCTCTGGACGGAGGCGGAGGGGAGGGAGGAGG